CACCTGGTCTCCTGTAACTTGAGCCCATTATCCTGTGCCCCAAACTCTAGGATGAGAGAGAAGAGATTCTGGCTTTCCACTTTGGGACAACCCTTCAAGTTCTTCGCGTGCTTTCCATCTCTCCTCATCCACTTTGTTTCCAGCCCCTGGACCATCCTGGTTGCCCTTCTCTGAACCCTTTCCAGCTTGCCTGCATCTTTCTTAAATGGTGGTGCCCAAACTCCATACTCCAAATGAAGTCTAACCAGTGCTGAGCAAAGGAGAAGTATTCTATTCCATCAATGGAATGCGCTCCCCAGAGAGGTCTGCCTGGAGCCATCGTTAGTTGTTTTCTGGCACCAGGCCTTTTTATTTCAGCGATATTTTAATAAGTCTTAATATGTTTTTTTCTATGTTTTTAATTGCAGCCAGTGTGGGCCGGGGTTTTTATTTATTTCACATTGCAAGCCACCCTGAGGCTTTTTGCGATTTAGGATGGTATATAAATATTTCAAATAAATAAGTAAGTAGAATTTCATGTGATTTGGAAGTGATACTTCTGTTCATGCAGCCTAAACTTGCATTTGCCTTTTTCGCAGCCACATCACATGTTCGGCTTGTGATCTTCAACAATTCCAGGTAGGGGGAGGACGAAGGCAAGATCAGCCCCCTACCCCCCAGCATATTGCAAGCTAAAAGTGCTATCCAAAGCACCTCTTCTCAGAATTAATTTTTATTGTCCCCCAAAGGGCATAACTCCAGGTATTTCTTAAAAAGATTGCTCACTAAAGCAAATAACTAAGCCTCGGAAAAACACTTCAGCTGCATGAAAGTGGGGACACCACCAAATGAGTGACAATTGGTGGAAAGGGGGTGGCCCCCCTGGTGGGAATTTGGCCCCCAAGAGTGCATTCTCCTCTGGGCTTGAGGCTCTAATCCCCATTACCCATAATATTTTCCCCAGCTGAGATCTCTGACCGTCCCACTGAGATCTCAGATCTTCTCCAGTGGGATGAATAGTCGTTTGGGCAAACAGGTGTGGGAAACAGCTCTGCTGCTGGCGTCTTAATCTGCCTCATGCCCACAACTACAACACCCATGTTATTTCATTAATCAGCATGCTCTCTCCCAGTTACTTAACAAAGCCCCAAGTTCCCCAGCTGCTCTGGAATTGGCTGCATCACTTGTTTAGGCCCTTAGGGTACAGTCCTTTGGGTCGTGGCCTTGATGGTCGGGAGCCCCCAACCTGAAGGCTTCGGCTCATCCCAGGCAGAGGGAGAGGAGCAGCGCTGGTAAGCTTTGCCTCCCCACCCCCGCTGCATTTTTTACCTTTGTCACCCATCCAGCAACATAACTTGGGGGTCCTCTCTGGGAGAGCTATTCCCAGTCTCTTCCTCTTCCCCTTTATCCCTTTTCTGGGGCCACGTTCCTGACTTCAGGGGCTAGCCATTGTGGTTCTTTCTGCACTGGCTGTGAGAGGTAGAGGGCAGAGCTCTGATTCCCAGCCCCAAGGATGGAACAAAGGATTCCGAGCATCATCTATTTGTTGTGGCATCACCATGCCTGCTATCCATCCATCCATCCCTACCCAGACCTGGCCCTCCAAACCTCCCTTTCCAAAACACCCATCAGTTGCCTACCTCCTTCTCAAAGATGGACCCTTCCATTTCTGATCAACAACAACAAAATAAGTGGATTCACATCAAACAGACCTTCCTGGTCCATAGTAGAAATTGCCACCCTTGAATTCTGCCTGGTTCCCAGCCAAAGAGCTCATTTCCAAGAGCTGATCCTCTCCTTTCAGGCCTTTCCGTTTCCTCGTTTTGGCTAGACTCCCATTATGTGCCTCCACCCCCCTCAGTTCCCATGCATCAAGAGCAGCTCTGCCAACTTGTCACAAGCACTGAAGCCCTCCCCCCGCCCAGTCCCTTAGTGTGCCCCCTCTTCTGGCCACCAGCTTTGTCAGGGGCTTCCTGTTAATGGGCCGGCAGGTATCATTATCAATGGCTGGAAAGATGAGGTGGGAAGCTGTGCGTGGGATGCCAGCCACAAATCAAGATTCCTGCTTGTCAACACTGCGGTCATTAGGTTGTTTTGCCAGACACACAGCCCCATTAGAGACCATCACATGTCAGTTCCCTGGTACTTCTTCCCCCGCTCCCCCCCCACCCCATGTCAGGAGATATTCAAAAGCCTCGCAGCTCTTTCAGCCAAGCACAAACTTTCCGAGGACGAAGTCTCCAGGAGCAGCTCTCGGATGCTGCCGAAGGATCGGCTGTTTCTTGGCCTCGTACACGGAGCCGTGGGAATAGTCCGGAACCGCACTGGTGTCGTGTAGACCAGCCAAGTGACAGCTGCAAGAAGGTGTGGCATAAAACAAATGGATCGTGTGGGGAAACGATCTCCCTTGAACCTAAGGTGCTATTTTTCTATGGACCAAGCTTAAAGGCTCGGTAAATGAGGATACGGAAGTGCTCCGTTTTCATGGGACTGTTGCTGTGAGAACAGATCAAAGCAGCATGTTGAAAATCATGTTTATACTGTTGTTATTGTATTTATATGCTGTTAGCAATGCAAGGAAGCCTACATAATACAATACTTCTCTCCACTTACATTTGTAAAGACAGAAAAAAGCATGTAATGCTAACAAAATAAATTCATTAAAATCCCCCTTTTTCCCTTTTGAAGGGAGACATGGTTCCCCTCCCTTCCACTTTATCCTAAAAACAACACTGTGGGTTAGTGATGGGCCTGAAATCTCCCAGAAAGCTTCAAGGCTAAGCAGGGATTAGAAACTGGGCCTCCCGGCTCCCAGTCTAGCATTATATTACACTACCTTTCTAACTAACTATATCCCAAGAATTGGAGAATGGTACATTATGCTATAAGATTTCCCTGTTCTAAATAAATTAACCTGGAGTATTAGAACTAGCCAAAGAGAGAGGATTCATACATACTTGTTTAAGCAACTGAGGAAACATCTTTAACAATGTGATAACAGTCGACATTTATAATGATTGGTAGACTTTCTCTTTGTTATTATAAGACGTGGAAATTGTGGTATAATGAAACTGTTTAACACAGTGTTGTTTTGACCTTCCTTCCTTTGGCTAGTTCATGCTGCTTAGAGAATGCTTCTAATTCACTCTGATTGCTGGTACGGCAGAAAAATGGCATTAAAGAAATAAATAAAAACTCACAAGTGGCATTTCCCTGGTGGAGCAAAGGTTTTCTTTCCCTGTCACAAACAGGTTAGGAAAGAGTTTGATGCCCTGTGGGGACATCTGGCAATTTGGGAAGCTGTCTTAGGCACCATAACAAAATGGCTGCCATGAGAGACATGGCAAAGGACTTGTAGCCTGAGCAAAAGTTTGGGCACAAGTGTTGAACCTCAGCACATTAAACTCTTGCTTAAACTCATCTTTTTCAGCAGCTAAGAGAAACCTTGGGATAGATGAACGAGCCATGGTCACAGCTACTTAGATTCTCCAAACATCAGTTCGAGGTGTATTGCTTGTTTCTTCATCTCCCGGTACTCTTGTTCCATTTTGCTCCGATGGAGGAAATGTGCATTTTTAACTAGCTAAAGGAAGCTCTTCCCCCTCGTGCAGGAAATTATGAAAATGCACATTCTTTGAAAAGGGAGCATTTCTTCAAGGGCACATTCACATAATTTGCTACCACAAAGAAAAGTCTAATCTCTTCTTAAATGATACCTTTCAATTTTATGTTTTAAAAGGCCCTCTCGTTTGGTACCAAGAAATTGTTCAGAGGTGCCT